CTGCCACTTTACTATACAAGCCTATTATTTCTAGAAGCTTTTTGGTGGAGTCTTAGGAGCTTTAATAGAGAACTTTAAAATTGATTTATTCTAGAATCAGGTGACTTTGGGGCAGTATTTTTTATTTCAAGGGGAAAATACTATAATTCATCGAATAACTTGGTGTTTTTATTAATAGCCTAACCATGTATTTAAACATTTAACAAAGACTACACTTGAGTAAGCAAAGTACAATGTATTTTGTTGAGTCTTTTGCAAATGAAAAAAATGTATTGTATGAGACTGGTACAGATAAAAACGTAAATTTTGAGATGATTCAGATAATTATCTTGGCAAGAGTAAGAAGTAATGTTAGGTGATAAAAACATTTACTAAAACCTTCTCCCTTTTTGGTACACTCTAAATTAATTAGCAATCACTTTGATTCAGAGCTATCCATAGTATCTCTTCTGCTCAGCATTTGAAACATTCCCAAACTCTGTCATCTTATTTACATCTGCCAGTACCTTCTTTTTAGGTTGTTGCAATCAAGCGGTGGTCCATGCTCAATTTTGCCTGAGTTGGCCTGAACTGTGTCTTCCCTTCCACCAATGGAGTACTAATCCCAGTATCTCAGAATATGACTATTTTTGGAGATAAGACAGATAACTGGGTAATTATAGGTAGGAAGGTCATACAGTAATGCCCTTATCTAGGGTGATTAGTGTGTTTGGGATAAGAAGAAACTTGGGGCTGTAGAGATAATACAGATGGTAGGGCACTTGCCTTTCATGAGGCCTACCTGGATTCTATTCCTGGCATCCAGTGAGTTCCCCCAAGTCCCAGGAGTGACTCCCTGAGTTGAGAGCCAGGAGTAAGCCTGCCCACCACTGGTGTGTCCACCCCCTCACCCTCTCCACCTCCAATAAAAAGCAAAAACAAAAACAAAAGGCAAGGGAACTTGAAGGGGGACTTGCATACAGGAATAGGAAGGTTCTTAGAAGAAACTGACACTATTGGCCTTATAATCACCTGCACTGTGAAGAAATAAGTTAATTAAACCACCCAGTTATAGCAGCCGGAGCAACTAATACAATCTGTCACTGTTCTTGTTATAACCTTCAATGAAAAATCTTTTCATTCACATCTGTCTAAACTATGTCACTCAGCAAAGAACTTAAACAGCCAGTTGGTGAGGTTGTTTATCCCTGACATGCCAGTCTTCTCTCTTTTTTCATCTAGTAGAGGATTTATAGTCTGTGCTAGACTTTTAGCAATTTCTAGTACATATAGCAAATGTTACTGCTCGAGCGGGCCCAGTAACGTCTCCATTGGAGACTTTGTTGTTACTGTGTCTGGCATATCCAATACTCTCGGTAGCTTGCCGGGCTCTCCGAGAGGGGCGGAGGAATCGAACTCAGGTTGGCCAGGTTGGCTGTGTGCAAGGCAAATGCCCTACCGCTGTGCTATCGCTTAGGCAAAATGGTAAAACAATGTCTAGCATGTAGTGAGTCTAAATTGTATGCTAGTGGGGCAGGAGCAATAGTACAGTGGGTAGGGTGTTTGCTTTGTACGCAGTCAGCCCGGGGTTGACCCATGGCACCCTCTGGTTTCCTGAGTACCACCAGTAGTGATTCCTGAATGCAGAGACAGAAGTAACCCCTGAGCACCACCAGGTCTGGTCTCCACCTTACCAGGAAAAAAGTTAAAGGATAAAGTGTCTGCTACAACTGCTGCTATTTACTATCTTCTAATGGTCCTTTTTAATCAAATTATATCACTGCTACTGTGATATAATGCTGGACATTTAAGTGGTAGAAGACTTGTTGATGAAACACTTTGGTCTAGTCTTATTCATGGCACAGAAACCTTTGGAGTATCTGCCTACCTGCTTTCCTATACTGTACTCAGGAGGATAAAAAGATGAATATAAATACATGGTCTCTACCCTCAAGTTGCTTATTATACTGATCAAAGGAATTTTCACTTTTTTCTGGCAAACTATTTTTATATCATTTGTGAGAACTATGTTATGAATTGGTACATGTGTGGGGGGAAATGACATGGAATCAAACATTTCTTGTCCTTAAGTTCATTACTGAATAAAACAAAAATTTAATTCTGTATGGTGGTTAAGAAAAAAAGTAGGTTCTGAAAAATTGCACAAAACACAAATTCCGAAAGAAGATATATGTTATCTTTAACTGCACAATTGTAACAGCTTAAAATAACAGGTATTTAGAGGCCAGGGAGATAGCTAATAAGGTGATATGCAGTTTCCACATGGGGTCCAGGTCTAATCACTGGCATTGCAAGGTCCATGACCACCACCGGAAAGGACCTCAATCAATCTTCTGGAATACCTCTTGAGCACTGCTAGACAAGGCTCTAAATCAAGAAAAAGCAAACAAATATATTCAGGAGACACAGGGGAGTTAGCTTGTTCTGGCTCAGGTTGTCTCTGACATTGCCGCGGAATCAAGTCACCTTAATGGGACCAAAGGATTTGCTACTAGGATTACTCATGTGGTTGATGGGAAGGATTTGCTTCCTGTTGACTGTTTTCATTTCCTGGACATATAGGCTTCTCTCTAGGCTTCCTGAATGTCCTTATGACATGACAGCTGGCTTCCCTCAGACTGCTTCAAAAGTATGCATAGGAGCCGGGGAGATAACACAGCGAGTAAGGCATTTGCCTTGTAACTGGCCAATCTGGCTTCGATCCCTGGCATCACATATGGTCCCATGAGCGCTGCCAGGAGTGGTCCCTAAGCATAGAGTAAGGAGTAAACCCTGAGTATAGCTGGGTGTACCCCCAAACCCAAAAAGAAATAAAACTGTGTGTGCATGAGAAGTCCCAATGCTTTTTGTGACCTAGTCTCAGAGTTATCACTTCAACTTATTCTATTAAAATAAAATCACATAATCTGACACTGAAAATAAATTAAATTTCAACAGCAAGAAGTATTAGGGGATGTATCTCAAATACCAAAAAGTGTTGTTATCATAATGGACTTTATACCTTTCAGAAAGGAGTCTGCACATTTATCCTGTGATGAGGCAGTATTCCTAAGATATGCAGATAGTTTGGAAGAGTGAAGAGGTAAAATTTAGTGAAAGAAGATCAGTTAAAACAGTATCACAAAAACTCAGGTCAGAGATTATGAAGGAGTGAATTAAGAGTGGCTGAAGCATTGAAAAAAGGGTGAATTCTATACATATTTAAGCATTAAATAGACAATAAATGTTAGTTAGCATTAGTGGGGTACAGGAAAGAGAATATAGTATATCCTATTATTTTCCGAAGCAATTCACCTGTTTCTTTGAAGATAAAAGTTTAGGGCTGGGGCTTGTGGATCAGTGGATTAGAACATTTGCCTTGCCTGTCTGTGGCCCTAGGTTTGAATATTTTCACCACAGAAGAGGATAAGACAAAGGCAGTTTTCTAATTGATATTATAAATTTTTTTTATTCAATGAGGATTTTGAAACTGAAATAAAACTGCTGTCATATTTACTTGTCCAAGGTTGAAATGTGCAACTGGTGTATGACCTTCACAAGATTTAAATATTTTTACACATTGGAATTTTATTTTAAAAGTTTTCCTTAATTTTTTTTTTTTTTTGGTCACATCTGGTAATCTGGATACCATATAGTCCTGGGGATTGGATCTGGGGTTCTCCACATGGAATTCACATTCAGTCCATTGAGTTATCGCCTGGCACACTATTTCCTTCCAAAAGGCAGAATATTGTTCTGATATATGGGTGTACTCTAAATTTAATCAAAATCCTAACATGAAATTAAGTAAGTCAAGACTTTTTTATCTATAAAAAAATGTATTCTTGTTTTTGAGCCACACCAAATGATCTCATGTGTTACTCCTGGCTCTGTGTTCAGGAATCACTCCTGGCAGTGCTCAGAGGACCATATGAGATGCTGTGGATGAAATCCAGGTGGCTGCATGCAAGGGAAGTGCTTCACTCAGTGTACTATCGCTCTGCTTCCTGATACGTATTCTTACTTCTGAACTTGCTGGGTCAAATACACTTGCTCAAGGCTTTTGCTACATATTGCCAAACTGTACTCTAGAAATATGCCAGTTCATACTTTCAGCAATATTAAGTCCTGTTTTACTAAACTCATTTCAGTATTATCAAGAAACAATAATCACTTGTCAATACCTGAAAACCAAATTAATGTGTAACAAACATTATGACTCCTGTCAGACTTATCACGAATGAAAATCTCTTTAAAAATTTGTAACCTATTACTTGTCCCAGAGAACATCACTATTTTCCAATGGCTTCCTACCCTGGAATTTATACATTTAGTATTAAAGCAAACCATTTAAAAGGTTTCATTTTAAAAAACAAAGCCTATCTACCCTTGAATAAGGATTTGCAAACCATTTAAAAGGTTTCATTTAAAAAACAAAGCCTACCTACCCTTGAATAAGGATTTTTTAATTTATTCAATGGTTCTTTTATGGTTTCATCCACTCAAAGGTACCGCATATGTCTACTAGATGAGGGGGGTAGAGTGGTGAACAGAACTGACACTGTCCCTGCTTTCATGGAACTTACATTTCCTCTTGTTTTTGTTTTTTGGGTCCCAATCAGTAATGCTTAGGGACCATGCTGGGAACTGAAGTCATATAAGCAGTGCAAGTGCTCTACTACTAAGCTACATCTCCTGGCTCCAGAACTACATTTTCAATAGGTGAAAGGAAACAAATGGCACAGAATTAAAGGGTATAAGTGCCAAAGCATGTGGGAGGCGTACACTTGGTACTGCATTATTCCCCTAGCACTGCTACGGAAGACCCACAGCACTGAGCCACGAGTAACCCCTGGCACTGCAGAGTATGGTCACTGTCTGCCCCCAAGCAAAGAAGATTGGGTAGCAAGCTGTGTAGAAAATCAGAATGCTTAATGAATAACCAAGTAAAACATTTTTCACCTGGTACATCAGCACTGTTGGAGATTAGATATATTCACACAATCTCTGCAAAAATTTGGGCACCAATTTAGAGTCAAGCTAAATGGTTTGAATCCTTCTGATCCCTTAAATTTTTACTAAAGAAATTTACTAAAGTACTTTCAAGAACGTTTATTTTCTACTAATAATCACACATCACATATTTACTATGAAAATGTCTTTTTCATTTCAAAGTAAAAGACTTTATTCAAGGCAACAAAATCTTATTAGATCCTTTGGCGAAGTGATTTCAATTTTATCACTCTTTACAGTATTCAAAACTTGTGAATGGAGATGGTTATAATGAGGTCATCTTCAGGCCTTAATAAAGTCCTGTGTGGGGTTGGAGAGATAGTATAGGGATAGTACACTGCCTGGCCCACAGTGGACCCGGGTTGATCCCTGCCATCTTGTGTGGTTCCCCCATCATCGCTGGGTGTGGCCCAAATTTACCCCTCCATGCCTAGAGCTGTAAACCCGGACTACAATGGTAACTCTTGATGTTACAATATCATATTCCATTAATAGATACTTTGTAACCAATGTATTCTTTATTTGTTTTGGTTTTGGGGCCACACCCTGAAGCACTTGGGGGCAGGGAGGTATGGTTTCTGGCAGTACAGGTGAACAATAGTAGCGAAGTATAGTAGCCCTTGGGGAAGCTAATCCTGCTCCAGCATGCAAAGCATGTGCTATGGTGGGTCCTTTGAGCCACCTCCCAGGTGCCTCACCTGTATTCATTCACCTTCATGTATTAAGCATATTTTTTTATTTTTTTAATTTTTATTAGTGAGACACCATGAGGTACAGTTGTAGACTTACAAATTTTTGTGCTTGGGTTTCAATTATACAATGATCAAATATCCATCCCTCCACCAGTGCCCATTTCCCACCTTAAGCATTCTTTGGAGTAAATGTTTTACACTTTATCTTACAGTGTGAGGAGGGAGGGACTATCCTCTTCGGAGGAAAGAAAAGGGGTGACGGGGGAGGAGATAAGAGGTGTTGCTCCTACCTGAATTCTCCTGCAGTAACAGTGAAGCAGTGTTCAATGACCTGAACCGGGAAGAGCAGTTTTCACCGCCACCATGCAACTGTTAAATAAATCCACACGCTGTCAAAATACTTTGCATTCTAAAAACCTAATCAGCACCTTTTTATTTCATAGGATGCTGACTTTTCTTGCCATTGATGAGGATTATATCCTTTGCCCTTCCAGAGACTGGTGTGGCGGTGAGTTTGGGCCAGGGCAGGGAAAGGATTCTAATCGGGCAAAAAAAAAAAAAAAAGAGCCAAGGAGGGCTGCAGGGCATTTAATTGACTCTCTCCTTGCCCCCAGTGCCCCCCCCCTCCCGGATCGCACAGGACCCCGATAAAACCTCTCGCTCGCACGGAGCGGAGGAACCAAGCAGAGCACACGGCCCCTAAAAACACACCTGCCCCCGAGGGTGCTTTCGAAGTCTGAACCCCGAGTTAAGGACACACAGCGAAGAGTTTATTGGCACACAAAGGAGTCGAGGGATACGACTTCAAAGAGGGGCACAGCTGAATGTCACTCTGCGTGAACAGGCTGCTCCGGGCCCGCAGAGAAGTTTCCCGAAGCGTCCTGCCAAGCCACCCTCGTTTCAGGGACCCGAGGGGCGTCCCCCCTTGCCCCCGGCTGCGGGCTCCCCCGAACAAATGCTCCCCACACCAGCTCCCCCTGCACCCCGGGTTAATCGCGGCATTGAAAAGGGCGGGGGTAGGGGGCGCGGGGGTAGGAAATACCCACGGTGGCGGCGGCGGGGGCCGCGCTCCTCAGACCTGCCGCGGGTCCCGGGAAGCGGGGGGCACCAGCATCGCAGGTCTGGGGAGGCCGAGGCCGGCGGCGGGGTGGGGCGGGGGGCGGCGGCCGGACCCGCTTCCCCGCGGAGGGAAGGAGCGAGGATGCGGCTGCAGCCGTCCCCGGCGGGCGGGCAGGCGGGCGGGGGAGCGCGGGGGAGGGCGGGGAGTCCGATATAAACACAAACACGCTCCGCGTCTCCGGGGAGGGCGGACCGACGCCACCTCACCATTCCCCGCCCCTGGACCCCGCCGCCCCCTCGCACCCGGGGCCCGGCAATCCGGCCTCCAGCCGCAGCGGCCGCCGAAGCCCCCGCTCCGCTCCGCTCCGCCCCGCCCCGCCGGGAGTCGGCCGGCCGCCGCCGGGAGCTGGCGGGAGCCGCCGCGGAGGCCCGGGAGGAGCCGCTGCCTACCCCTCTCGGACGCGCGGGAAGCCGCTACCCCCGCCCGCCCCCCGCCCCTAACTCTGTCCCGTCGGCACTCGCCGCTCCCACCTTCCGCCGCCGCCTTGAGGGAAGTCGGAACGACGGGGGTCACGGCCGGGGTCAGAGGGTAAAGGTCCTGCTCCCAGCAGCCTCCGCGGTGGATACGTCGCCATCTTGGATCCGCGGGACAAGAAAATTCATGCGGTGAGTTTTTGGCAAATTTTCGGAAGTCTAGCAGCGGGGCGCGCGGCGGGGGCGGCGGATTCGGGGCCCCCGCAAGGCGGGGGAATGCTTCGGGGCCGATCCGGCCGCGCCCGGGGTCCGCGGGCAGCGTCCCGGCGCTCCGCTTCCCGTTGCTTTTGTCTCGACTCCAATCGAGAGAGGGAGAGCGGGGAGGGGGGTGGCGGCGGCGGAGGGAGGGAGGGAGGGAGGGGGTGTGTATGGGGAGGGTGGTGGACGGGACGTAAAGCGTCGCTGTGGTCGGGTCGCTGCAGCGGCGGCTCGAGAGCCGCGGCCTGGTGCCTGGGCCCGGCGCCGGGGCTTCCCCCACACTCCTCTTCCCCGGGCTCCCGCCAGCCGCGGAGCCGCCACCGCGCTGCTTCCTGGGGAAGAGGAGAAGGCGGCAGCGGCGGCGGCCGGGCAGCCCAGGCCCGGCTCCGCAGCCGCCGCCGCCGCCGCCGCCGCCTCCCCAGCGGCCGCCGCGGCCTCCAGCTCTCCTCAATGCCCTCACGAATATCCCCTGCAAACTCGTGTGTTGCCGGGGTGTCAACAGTGTGGAGATGTTAGGGCGTGTGTGCGGGGCGCTGCGGGGTGGGGGGGGCGCCGGACTGGCTAACGGGCCTCAGGAACCTCCAGGCCCCGGGATCCCGGAGGCTGCTGCCAGGCAGGCAGGCAGGCCGGCTGTGATGCTTCCTCCCTCTCCCACCGCGCCCGGAGGTGTCGCTTCCGTGCCGTGGCGGGGCCGGAGCCCGCGGAGACCGGGGGCGGCGGGGGGGACACCCGAGACATCTGCTTGGTGAAGTTGCGAGCCCCTAGGTTTCTACATCCGGCGCCCCCCCACTCCCACCCTTTGCTGTCTCGGGTCTTAACTTCAAACTTTCACCGTAGACAGATGTTCAGAAGAGGCCCGGTAGTGTTGTGTGTGTGCGTGTGTGTGTGTGTATGTGTGTGTTTTGTGGTTTGGTTTGGTTTTGTTTTTAAGTTGAGGCTCTGTTGTCTGTCTAGGAGCCAAGCAGCCGCGGCTTTAACTCTCAGGAACTAGCATTCGCTCCTGCGAGTTGTAGTTTTCCTATATTAAAAAGTCCTGCCAAGATTGAAGGGTTTGCATTTATCCCCGGCTCGCTGAGCAGTTTGATCGCCCCCAAATTCGTACATACGGGTACCACCCTCGGAAGGAAACGGAGCATCTACTTCCTTAGACTCCTAGGAGATGCCTTCACTTTCACCACCTAAAAGACTGAGTGTGCTGCACATTGTGTTTCTTACTGATCTCGAGGTCAAAACATCCCCCTTAACCTGGAAAGGTCCCCCCCCTTTTTTTTTTACTTTTTAAAGTACATTGCTATATTAGCCCTTAGATTCCAAAGGTGAAATGGTTGAAGGTACAGAGTGAACAAAATCTGTTCACAGGGGATCATTTAGAATCCGAAGTTGAACACATTTCCTGAAAACTTGATTAAGTTAGGAATATTGAGAGCTTTAGGATCACAAATGCAACTTTTGATTTGTCTTTTGAAAGACAGTGGAAATAAAGTATGGCAGGGATGGACAGAAATTTTAAAATATATGCCAGTCGTTTGGGGAATACTTGCTGTATTAGACAGCTTATTTCCTAAACATTTTTGAGCACGTCTTGAAGTTGTGAAAGATAACTATTCCAGGTTTAAACTGTTTAAACAGTTGATTAAGAATCAGTGGCCTGAAATGGCTAATTGACTGCATTCAAGAGGTTATATGTCTACATTCAGATCTCTTCATTGATATTTAATGGATCTCCATATCATTAGTAAGCTTTGTGTGCGTGTTTAACTACTCTTGCAGTTGTTTTGTAATAAGTCTAAAGGAACAATGCAAGAAAAAAAGAATATTACTTCTTCACTTTATGATAGCTTTTCTCCTTACCCCCACTCCCCCATTTGAATTGTGGTCGTTGTGTTTTAGACAAAACTAAGAAATTGCTTCACATGTTTAGCAACCTTCTTATTGCTACATCAATAAAAAACAAATGTAAGCATCATTTGATGACAGAATCCTTATATTCTATGTTTACTCTATAGAGGTAGCTCTAACCTAATCAGATGCTCTTGATCTGAGTGAGGGAATGAGGATTGCTTGCAATTTTAACCAAGCAACAAAAATAGCCTTAATTTTCTTCTTTTCATTTTAAAGTAAATTTAAGTGGTAGGAATATGAAGGCAAAATGCAGGAGTATGGGTCATTTATATCCCTTCCTTTGAGAAGTACTTGCTTGAAGATAAAATTTTATGAAAGTTTTCCCCAAGAGAACTAATTACTACCTATGTTTTTACTTAGTAACTTAGGATGTTTGATTTACTGTTTGATTTTTTTTTTCAGACACGTCACATTTAGTTACAACTTAAATGCTCTTTGTTCAAAAATAATTATTTTAGGTCTTAGGGTAGGTTTTATTAATAGTGTGCCTCAGTTTTTGTATTTTATTTATTCGATACTGATACTAGAAATATTTGTCTTTCAAAAGAACCCTTTTCACAGTCTGAAATTATTGTTTCTTCCTTTTTAGTGACAATTTGACTTTTATGTTTTCCAGTAGCAAATAAAATGCATATTTCTTATGTTTATATGAAATGAAATGAAGACATTCATAAAATAAAAATTGAAAATAATTCAATTTTAGCTTTTAAAAGCAGTGTGAATAGTAATTTTTGAATTTTTAAAAAAAATTTTATTGTGGAAAGTTTAATATTTAAAAGCATACTTACATGTGCCTGCTTAAAAAGGCATTTGAGAACAATTTTTTCAAGTAGTGATTCAGTCTTACAGGAGAGATTCTGTTACTCTAGTATATTCTGTAATACAAAGAAGTAAAAGAAATTAAGGCATTGGGTAGGGCAGTCTTGAGGCTCTGTTAGTCTGAGTTTTCCTGTAACAGTTTGAATAGAATTATGAATGAACAATATTGATGTAATGGCATATAGTGTTGTGATAGGAGTCCTGCTTGATGAAACAGGTGACTTACTAAGGATGAATTCTTTCTGTGACACGAAAAAGGAATTGAATTTCATTGTTATATTTATTATGGAAAGATACACACACACACACACAGATGCACATGCACACTCACACACTAAAATTGCTCATGTAGAAAGCCAGTCTTTCAAAATAAATAGAATGGTATTTGGATTTTAAGTATTAGGGCTTTTGTTCATTGAATACTTTTTAAAATTAACCATTACATATTTTTCTTTTTTTGTGTGATGTTGGGGGTTGAACCCAGAGCCTCACACATATAAGGCAAGTATTTTGCCACTGAACTACATCTCTGCCTCCCACCCTCCCACTATATAATTCTTGTTGCTTTAATTTTTGCTTGGCATTCTAAAAATTCTTTTGGAGGGGATAATGGACCACACATGCTCATATTCAGGGGTCACTCTTACCAGTGCTCAGGGACCATGTAGTGCTGGGCATGAGCCTGGGCCTCTTGAATACAAAGCATGTACTCAGCCTCCTGAGCTCTATTTTCTGAACCCACCTTTTAAAAGTTCTTGAAACTCTTATGATAGGTATGCTAATATGGCTTGTTCTTTATTTTGCCTATAAAACTGGGGTATGATTTGGAAAAAGATTCTCAACCTGACAACTTGTTCTTGAAATATAGTTGCAAATCTCTCGAAGGGATGCAGTATTATGAAGTAATAAAATGTTTTGTGATACTTGTTTTACGGTAGCATTTTATAACTTAGTATGTGGAATGTGATGAATTATCTCGGGGAAAGCAATTTCATTGTGGAGGGGATACTTGGACTAGAAATTTTTAGATGTCCTAGTTATTTTGAACATGCATGTGATTTACCCCGAAGAGAAAGGGGGAGAAGAGGGGTGGAGGAGGGGGGGGAGAGAGGGAGGGAGAGGGAGAGAGAGAGAGAGAGAGAGAGAGAGAGAGAGAGAGAGAGAGAGAGAATGAGAATATTCTGGTGTTTGATAAACTTCACTGTTAAAAGCTTTCTTGTGGTGTCCCTTTCTCCTCAATGAAACCTTTTTTGACTCACTGAATCCTTCAGCTACTCTAATTGTATTCTGACTTCTGTTAATGTGCCACACCGTTGTAATTGACTGTCCATCCCAGCCAACCATTATAACCTCAACTGTATTGTGAGCACCTGTAAGGTAGTACTTTGTCTTATTTGTATTTGCATTCATTTACTGTTTTCTGTAGTATATGGGCTTACTAGGTTATCAGTAAATACGCAGTAAACAGAACTGGATTGTCACTTGACACTTAATACTCTGAGAGTGTTCTGTTTCTCATTTCACAGATCAGAGACAATAGATTAAAAGAGGGGAGAGGGGTTGAGAGAAAGGCATCTTGTATTTACTTCCTTGAATCCCTTCTTACAGTTTTGCAACTTAATTGTCTATAGGTAACTTGTAACCAGTATCTTCAAGAAATGTGTGTAGTTAAAGTGAGATGGGGAGGGATGCTAGTAATAGGAGACTATTTTGCAGCATTTAGGTCTATATTTCTAGTTGTATTTTCTGTGGTTAAGAACATTGGTTGAAGGAGACATTTTATATTTTTACTCAGACTAATAAATATTTGGAATTGTTTTAACTATTGAGTTCCTATTAAATTTAGCTGTTTTGAAGTCAACTTATTTCTCTTTACTCTTAGTGCTTGATTTTTCTAGTTTGGATCCCATTTTCCTTTAATAAAAGTTGTGTGAGGTGATTTAATATATCTTCATGGATAATCCAAAAGCCCTAAAAATGGATTTTTGTTAAACTGTGCTGAGAGTTATATCCAGAGCCACATACATGAAAGGAAAGGGCTCTACTGGTGAGCTACACCCCACCCCTGAAAATATACATAGGTTTTGGGGTCACACCTTGGATTCATGGCTTACTCCTGACTCCACTTATGGATCACTCCTGGCAGTGCTCAGGGGGTCATATGGAGTGCTTGGAGTTTGCTGTGTGCAATTAAGTGCCCTTACCTACCTATCTT